AGGAAGGGAGAGAGATAGAGAGTTAGAAACATCGATGAGAGAAACATCGATCAGCTGCCTCCTGCACATCTCCTACTGGGGATGGGCCCGCAACCCAGGTACATGCCCTTGACCGGAATCGAACCTGGGACCTTTCAGTCCGCAGGCTGACGCTCTATCCACCGAGCCAAACCGGTTTCGGCTTTCTCCCGTGTTATTAATATGTGAATGACAATGTGGATGTTAACATTAGGGTTTCGCCAACTCTGCAGGCTCTAGGCCAGCGGTTCTCAACCTGTGGGTCTCGACCCCTTTGGGGATCGAACGACCCTTTCACAGGGGTCGCCTAAGACCATCGGAAAACACACATATAATTACATATTGTTTTTGTGATTAATCACTATGCTTTAATTATGTTCAATTTGTAACAATGAAATTGGGGTTCACCACAACATGAGGAACTGTATTAAAGGGTCGCGGCATTAGGAAGGTTGAGAACCACTGGTTTAGGGAGTCCTTGCTTTGTCCCAGCTTGGAGCAAGGCAAGTGGGGACTCAAAAGGAAACCTCGGATTAGAGCTCACTGGAGCTCCCGTCATTGTCCATTGCCTGCTCACCGCTGCCCTGGGCACAGATGTTGCTAAGTGCCTTCGGGCAATGGAGAGAACCAAGGATAAGAGAAGTGAAGTAACTTGCAGGCTGTGGAGTAGAAATGCATGTATCTCGCATTAATCACCACCACCCTCACCATCTTCAATAGTTATTTGAATGCCCACTAGGTACCAGGCATGACACTAAGCACTTTACATGCATTTTCTCATGTGATTTCCATGCAACCTTGCCAGGTAGGGGTCAGAGAAACCCGTTTTATGGGGTGCAAGTTCAAGGTGGAGACCTTCGCCAGTGCTTTCAGCTTACAAGTTGGAGCCGGACTTGAACTTGGGGGCATTCTGGCTGCAGAGGCCACACTGTCAGACCTGCTCCTCTCCTTCCAGGTGGCCCACGCTGGGTGGGGGGGCAAGACAATGCAGGGTGGTTCCCCCCAGAGTAACGAGTGGGACCTGCTGCAGGAATTCAGATAGGGATAAGGGGGTTCAGGAGGGCTTGGTTGTGGATGAGCCTTGCTTGGGAGTTAGGAAAGGGGTCCTGGGCAGATGGTATCCAGGGAGTGGAGAGGGGACTGGGTGCAGGCAGGGAGCCTGGGGGAGAAGGCACGAGGGGCCAGAGGGCTGGGCTGGGAACACAGAGACAGTGATAGCGGACCAGAGCCCCCTCCTTTCCCTTGGGCGGGGGGCAGCAGCTTGGTACCTGGAGGCAGGCCCTCTGTGTGGATGGAGGGCCTTTGTTTGGTTGTTTGTGGCAGGCCTGCGCCCAGGGCAGGACTGTGGAGTCAGCAGGGGCACCGGACAGGGAGCGGCGAGGCACTCCTTTCCGGCTTCCGCCCTCTGCCTTCCCCGTCCAGCTCCGGCCCAGCCCAGGTCACTGGAATACAAAGGAGCATGAACAGTTCTTATTTCCCACAGCAGCCAAGCCACTTCCCTGAATAAAACCGAAGTAATTAGCTCTGGCAATCACAGGCCTGCACGGCTTTCTTTACAGCCCGGCGAAGGATCCCAGAGGTCTCCTAGCACAGCCGCATCCTGTGGCCGGATTGCAAGGTGGACTTAGGTCTGTTTGCACAGCTCTGGTGGGGAAGGGCTCCTATATCCTGAATGCAATTCTGGTGGCCTGGGCTCCTCCGGGGAGGGCCCCCCAACCCCAGCTAGCTCTGCATCCCTGTCAGTCTGGCTTTAAGATTTAATACCTTGCAAGTAGCAAATAGGCCTCACATACACTTACTTATTTAGCAAATGCCTGGTGCGTGTTACTTTCAACAGGCATTTTCGTTAGTAAGAATCAGTTCATCTTCACATGAGGGATATGAGGTTAAGGGGCTTTCACCTTATCTGTGTCCTGGGCCATCGGCCCCATCTCTTTGGCCCTGAACAGATAAGTAGAGGCCAAAATGTGAAGCCCTTGTATGCCACTGAGGTTTATTTAGTTCTATAGCCTGGGAGGCGCTATTGAAGGATTTTCAGATGAAAAACACACACATCAGATCTGTGTTTTAGAACAAAAACATGCTTCTGAGAGCAGCTTGGAGATTAGATGGGGGGCATTTAGACTTGAGGGAGGGTGATGAGGTGGCAGGTTACTGCCATGGCTGGAGGGAGGCGGCAGGGCTGCGCTCATGCCGGGTGGGGGGCAAAGAGGGAGCCGCTGGTGGAGGACTGGAGGACCAAGGGGTAGTGGGCTGGGAGCCAAGATAGTTCCTGGTTTGGCCTTGGTGCTGGCGTCACTCACCATAGCAGACTCTCTGGAGAAAGAGCCTGCCAGTAGGAGCCGCCAGGAGCCACTGTGGCCAGAACTTGGGAAAGCCCTCGTCCCTGCCTGAGTCTCCCACGGGCTGACTGCTGTCGGGACTTCAACCTCTGCTTGCTCTCTCTCTCTCTCTCTCTCTCTCTCTCTCTCTCTCTCTCTCTCCTTTGGTTAGGGCTCCCAGTATCTATTGCAGGGATTTTTCTCAGAATGCCATCATTTTCACTGAAGTTCTAACTGGCAATGACAGCCTCGAGGGCCACAATGGGTTCTTAAACTGGACCGGAGGGCCAGAACAAAAGCATGGATGGAATGTTTGTGTGAACTAATATAAATTCAAAGTAAACATCATTACATAAAAGGGTACGGTCTTTTTTTTTTTTTAGTTTTATTCATTTCAAACGGGCCGGATCCGGCCCGTGGGCCCTAGTTTGCCCATGGCTGCTCTAACCACACAGACAACTGGGGAACCTCCCACCGTCTGAGCAGGGAAGGGGCCTCAGGACGGAGGGCTCAGTGCCCCTCCCAGGCGGCATCGCAGCTCCTGGCTCCACACTGGGACCGGGACCGCCTGCGGGTCCTCCTGGGAGGAGAAAAGTCTAGTCAGCACCGCCTGCTTCGCCCACCCCACCCCACTTACCCGGAGAAAGCCCGGATGCTACACTCTGGGGGTCTACCTTGGGCGGGCTCGTTCTTCTCTTCGTAGGTGGTCTGTTGAGAAGGTCTGCACGTTGGTGCGGTTTTATCGGGAAATAAAGGGCCAGGTGGAGTGGCCAGGCAGCGGGGAAGGGCTTGGGAGAGTGCGGGGCCATCCAAGGAGGATGGGGAATTCCGTCACCTCAGGGCTGGGTGAAGCGTGGGCTCAGGAGGGGCTGCAGGTGCCGTGGGGAGGAGTGAAGTGGCCGCGAGGAAGATGTGCCCTGACAGCTGCCCACAGGGGCCCCTGAGCCACCCCTGAGGCCCTCCGGCCGAGACAGGGAAGGAGCCCTGCTGGACTGAGTAGGCCCAGCTCCTCCAGGGCAAACACCAAGTCACCATAAGAGAAGCAAAACCGAGAGCTACAGCTTGACCAGCTCTGAGTGAGGCTGGGGCAGGGGTCTCAGCTCGTGTCCCCAGGAGCCCAGTGAACAGGAGCCAGGCCTTGCTCAGTAGGTGCTCAGGCAGCGTGGGGGTGGGGGTGGGGGTGGGGGGGTGGGGGGCTTTCCACCACGTCAGGATGGGGCCAGGACCAGGAGCACTTGACTAAGGACCAGCCCGTGTAATGCTGAGGGACCTCTGGTGTCAGGCAGCGAGTGGAACGATGCACAGCGGCTCACCGGGACCCAGAAGGCCCGAAAGGAGAACCTGCCCGACACGGAGCCCTCAGTGCCCGGAACATGGTTCTGTGGTTCGTGCACCGGGGCCAGGACCAGAGAGTGCACTTCAGGGTTTGCAACTTTGAACAAGAACTGGCTTCTGAGTTGGCAGGAGCCCTTGCCTTTCCAGTTTGGGAAATCCCAGTGAAGAAAATCCCTGAGGACCCGGAGCCAATGGAACATCCCTTTCTTCCCTACTCCCTCCCTTCCTGGCCTTCGCTCGGATTTTATGCGGGCCCTGCCCCAGGATGGCGATGACGGGACCAGCACAGCAGGAAGCTCAGGGGTCCCTCGCCCCTGTGCTCTCCACCCCTTCCCTTGCCTCACAGAAGTGCCACTTCCTGGGGAGGAAAGTCCCGAGAAACTCCTCTGGGGTCTCCCTTTCCCTTTCCCACGGAGACAGGCCCTTTGCAGGATCTGGGAGGACAGGGTCTCGTGCATTAGGGGCTGTTGCCCACGCGTGGGCTGAGGGAAAGGGCAGTTTATCAAGGACAGTGTCCCGCCAGCTCAGGCTAAATTCTCCAGAGACACCCCCAGGCCCCACTGATCCCCAATCCCAGTAGCTTCTAATGATGATGTTTTATTTCTCACTCAAGTTACACGTCCTTCAAAGCCGGAGAGGTGATGGAGCCGCCCTTCCCTGCTCACCTGGATCCCTGAGGTCGCGGCGGGAGATGGGCAGGTGCAGGTGCCGGGTAAAGCTCCGGTTTACAGGCCACACGGACAGAGCAGGGCCTTGGCCACTGTGAGTTCAACCTGGGGAGACACACACCCTGTGTGGGGAGGGACCACCACGTGGGCCCAGCCGGACACCAGTGGGCAGGACGTGCCACCCTTCCACCCAGGGGGAGAGGGCTGGAAGGACAGGCCACCGGGGTGCAGGGTGTGTGAGCACCGAGACACCCCACTTCCCCAGAGCGTCGTTAGCACCCCTCTGCGGAATCATCTGCCCACACTCGTGTGTCAGGGCTCTATCCAGGCCCAGGCCATCCCACCAGGGCTCAGCGCTTCCCTGGTCCCTGGCCCTGCTCCAGTGGGTGAGGTGATGATGGCGTCGCTGAACTCTCCAAATCCTAGAATCTGAGGAAGCGCTGATTTCCAGCCCAGGGCATGAGGGTCTGTAGTAACTCAGGGGCAGCGTGCGTGATGCGGGCGTCTGTGGGCTGCCCGAGACTGCTTCACCCCCTTCCAGCTCTCACAGGGAGCAAGCGATTTCCGAGCTTCAACTACTGCGTGTGATAAGCCGCCCCAACGCGGGCTGTGCACCCACAACGCATCACGGACACAGCAAGAAGCTCCCAGGCACGGATAGCGTTATTAGCATCATCTTATATTTGGAAAAGCAGTTTTAAAAAAACACTTGAAAATACAAGATAAGGTAACAGTGACATATAAGTTTTCACCTTATATTGCCCGGCCGTTTTTACATATAAATTATTGCTTACTAGCTTCGATAAATACACAGCACAGTCATATATGTACAGAAGCAGAAAGCATGAAATCTGAGGGAGGAAATACTGTTAATGGCAATTCTGGTAATTCAACCCATGTTTCATATTTACCAGCTCCTGCAATGGTGGAAAACTACGGGGTGTGGTCCCTGAGAAGTTAGGTGGGCACCCTGGTTGCGGGCTGTCTATCGGCTAAGCGTTCCCGCCCGCTGACGACGCCACTGCAGTCCTAATGAACGACACGTTGGAAGGCCCGAGTCCTTGCTGCAGCTCACTGATTCCGTCCCAGCATTTAACAGCGTGACACGAATACAATAAATAGGCTATGCAAATAAATAGTGCTCTGCTAAAAAACGTTTAGTATGTACAGCTTTGCTTTTTACAGTAGTACATTTTCATCTAGCTTTTTGGCAAATTTAAAAAACATTTCCCCCCTCCCAGTGTTCAGCACAGTGGCCCGCTCGTCACAAGCAGGCTGAAATTTTAAGGACGTGTTTGAAGCGTTGAAAAGAAACTCCGTGTCGGACAATGGCAGGGCACCCGGTGGTCCCCATTTTCATGTTTTCCCCTCGTTTCCGAGAAGCTTGGGGGACTTGTGCCATTTGGGAACACCGAGTCTGCGACTGTGTACGTGACGGCTGTCACAAGGCGGCCGGGCTGGGACGGGGGCCGCGGGGCAAGCCCAGCTCTGGGGGCCCAGTCCCAGGCACCCTCTCCTTCCTGCAGCTGTTTCTCCCACCAGGAGGCGGTAAGCCTCACCAAGCGGCATCTGAGTTCGCATATGCCCCACCTGACTTGCCTGTGGACAGGGTCTGGGTAAATGAACTTCTTCTAAACGTAATTAATGATATAGAATAAAGTGAATGCAAGCGATCATATCTCCCAGGGCAACCATTTGGCAATTGTGCAGATTATAACGAGAAGTGACTCTGAAACGCTGTGGTCTTTGGAGCGTCTGTATGGATGGAGAAAGGAGACGTTCGGCAAGGTTGCGGTTGTGCCCACGGAAACCTGCTGTGCCGATTTCTAAGCCGGCTGGTTCGCCGGGATGCTGACAGCCAGACCCGCAGGCTGTGGAGGGTTGTGCTGCAGCGAAGAGAACCACTCGGAAGGGCGGGTGATGGTGGCAGCTGGGAGGTTTCCAGGGCGGATGGAGATTTTATGGGACCATAACAATCTAAAAGAGCCGGAAAGCAGCATAGACGTCTTCCAGTCCACCCGTCTGTCTAGCCAGCACAAAACTACTCCAAAGAGGCTGTGGCAAGGATTTGGAGGGAGCACAGCCCATCCTCACTAACAGGGAGCTGCTGAGCCCCACGTCGGCCGCACACTGTTGGGCAGCTCAGATTTTTGGGAAGAGCTCCATGCTGAGCTAAACCCGGCTCCCACAATTCCGCCTTGAGTTCTTTAGTCCCAGGCTTACGTCTCCTCTGCGCTTCTGAAATTTCTGAGAGCTGCTGCCTGGGGCATCGCTGGAGAGTTGCTAAATTTCAGAAAGATTGGGAGATGTGGACATTCAGAAGATGGGGACGGAAAAGCCAATCTAATGTGAACAAAATGCTCCCTTCCCTCGGCTGCCCCAGAGCCACCCACCCCGGCTGGAGGAAATGTGACCGCACCACGCTCTCCCCCACCCGTGTCCGCCCACGCTGCTGGGCGTGCTCTGCCTACACCATCAAGGTGGGTTTAACTTGATGCACGTGTGGATTCGTTTGGCTGTGGACATATCGGAAATGAGGTCTAAGCACCGGGTGCTTTGCTGAAAAAGTTCTCTACTAAAGAAACTGCAAGTTTTCGTTGGAGCAAAGTAGATTCTATGTGAATAAAAACTTAAATGCAAAACATGGAGACAATGTCAAAATGGCCTTCGATGGTCTGACTGGGCAAACGCTCCTCCCCGCACGGAGAGCAGACAGGAAGGCCTGTGCGTGCGGCGAGCCCCTGCCCCTGCAGCGTGTGATCGGCCACCAGAGAAGCCTGCTGCCTGGCTCCAGGCTCAGGTCTCCTCCAGTGGGGCCCATTCCGGTCCCAGCAGCCGGGAGCATTTCTCTAGTGGGCCAGCCCTGGATGGTGCTTTCGACAAAATCCTGTTAATTTTCAGGACTGATGTTTACATGCTGGGGCAGACGCAATCTCTCTGACAGTTCTACCAACAATCTTCTCCCCGTGGCTCCTTCCAGCGACTCCTCAAGCTCTCTGTGGCTCCTGAGCCAGGACACAGCCCTGCTGAGAGGGGCCAGGCAGCCCCGGACGGAGGTGCTGAGGCGGCAGGAAGTGGTTCTGCGCAGGCACCTGGGAGACGCACAGGCGGCCGGGCTGAGAAGTGCACCGGGCTCCCAGGGCTGGAACGGGCGTGGAGCTGGCACAGGGAGCCGGGGCCCTGGGAGTTTAGCCACGTGGTAGGTATCTAACTGGCCGGGTGCATTTCATTGCTGTGTCCCACAGGCTTTTATGAAGGGCGAGGGGACGCTAACCCGTTCTGGAGAATAGCCAGGTCTTACTTACTGGAGGAGCCCTAATCTATAAAAATGGACATAAAAAAAAAAGACTTAAAAGACTCAGGGAGAAAAAAACACACAAATTATAGGAAGGCCGCTGTCTTGGCTGGAAGGTGAACTCTAGGACTTGCGAGGGTCCAACATAAATCCGATGTTTGCTGTGAGACGGGCCATCAGCACCATCTTCCTCCCTTGCGCTTCTCTAGGGAGGGAGTGCCGAGCGTCTTGCACATCCCACCCCACTCACCTCCCTGCACCGGCTGCGACCCCTGCACCCGGCGGGCAAGGAGCCCACGGAGGCGTGCAGAGCACCAGGGCACCGCCAGGCACCTCTGACTGCCACCTTGATGGAGCCTACGAGGTGTCAGGCACTGCGCTCTTTCAAAAATCGTATTGTTCCCAATAGGAGGAGAGCCGGCTTGCACGTGTCAAGAAAATCCCGGAAGTTAAACCATGAGTCAATCTCCTAAAGATTCCTATTTTTCCTTACTGGCAAAGCCCTGTAGCCTAACTTGCCCACAGTTGCAAATCAGTTGTGCAGAAACAGATTTCACCGGCGAGCCGACATCCGTGAGTGATTGTGGGTGCAAAGCAGGGCCTGCCCTGACAGTTCCCTTCTGGGACTCAGGGCACGGACGCCGGCGCCGGGTCCTCACGGCTCCCCAGACACAAGGGGCCTTTGGTGACATCACAGTGTGTAGCAACAGAGACCACGCCTTCTCCCTGGAAATCCAACGTGCCATCACCATCTCCTGGTGCTCAGACAAGCCCCTTCTCTGACAGCCTATACACAACAACCTGCTCGCAGGTGACATAGAGCTGCTCCTGAACCTGCACGCCCTCACTGAAATATCTGGCCACTGCGCAAGACAGGCTCCCTGGCCTTGACGCTGGCACATCTCAAGTTGAAAACTGGATGGGATCAACAATGTCCATGTAAGAAACCGGACTTCTCCATGCCAAGATGCTCTGAGTCTTCTGCCTTCTCGGCCGAGAGCGAGAGCGGCGAGGTGAGCTGAGGCGAGGCCCTTCCCCACCGCGGGTGGCTGGAGCGTGTCTCGTGAGTTACTGATAAAACTCAGCAGCTTCTTTTCTCCCAGGAAAGGGATGTGCTGGGCACGGACGTCCTGTGGCGGGAGAGCTGCAGGTGCTCAGGGGGGCGCGGCTGGGCTCACGCGCGGGGCTCGATCCGGTGGGAGAGCTCGAACAGGGCCTGCTGGCTGTCGATGACGTACAGGTGGGTGACGTAGGACTTCAGCTCCTGGTGCTCTTTCGGAGACATGTCCCCTCCTAAGTTTTGGAGGAAAAAAAAAACCCAGTTAATCTCATGAGCCTGGTGATGTTCTGGCTGAATCCCAGTCAACCCCACAGTAAGGCTCAGTGTAAACCTACCAGGCAGACTGAGTCAGACTCCAGAGGAGCTCTCGATGCTAACCGGGCAGTTGCGTTCTCAGCTCGGACTAGGTTCCTTGGTCAGGTGTTTAGACCCGGCAAGATGTTTGTCTTACCGACATGTCTGTGGTGTTTACTACCTAACAATACACAGCCTTCAGCAGCTGGGTTATCACCCCTCTCAGAGGGGAAACAGCACAGACACACGAGTGAGTGGCCGCGTGGGACTGGAACCCGGGCCCTGTGGCTCCCGGGTCTGTGGTCTGAGGTCCCGTGTCACAAGACATGCCCGTTTCAATGGCTCTCACGGGCTCTTAATCTCAGTCTGGAGCTGTGGGAAATCACTGCTCACCTGGTGAGTGCACAGACACAATTCTTTTTGGTGTCCTTATTTTTTGGGGAAAAATGAAGGGACCCATTAAGTGAATGGATATCACAGAACTAAACGTAAGGCATGGCTGACAGGCACCGCAGGTCCCTAAAGGACGTGGCTGGGCTAACATCCACCCCGTGAAAGGCGAGGCGGGGGTTTCCACTCGCCATCCAGGACCCGGGTGGTTAAATACCGCAGGGCCGCCTGGCTTCGGTGCACTGTGACCACACATGTGCCCCGCTGGTGGCAGCTCTGATAAGGAACCAGAGATAAGGGGGCCTGGACAATGGGGCAGGCTCACTTCCCAAACTCAGAAACAAACACATCCACCCCCACCCCAACCCTGGGGCCCCGGAGGCTGAGCTGGGCCGTGGAGGACAATGTGACCGTGAGTGAGTGGCCTGAGGTCACTGGCATCGGGATTGGGGGGTGGGGGGGGGGGGAGGCAGGGCCCAGGCTGCGCTCAGTCGAGCAGAGGGGCGGGGCCTGAGGAGGCTTTCATTTCAAAGCAGCTGTTTTTTCCTCCCTCCTCTATGACAATGTGTTTTGTAATCTAAGGCCTGTATGTCATGGGTGGCTTATCATTCTTAGGTTTAATAGAAATAAGACTTTCTGGTTTCAAAAGGTAAAAAGCACCAGGAGTTGATGTTTTTACCGAAGTGACCAAAGGCCATGTCATTCCGGAGGCCGTTTCTGGAGACACCAAGATAACGTGTCCGTTTAGTGAACATTGGTGTAGAACACACGATGCTACCAAGGTAATTTTGTTGTTAAATGTCTGGCCTTAAAAGAGGAAGACAGAACGAATGGTTCCAATCATGACAATGGACACTTGCAGGCACTCTATGGTTTACAGGGGCCTTGACCAACACTATCTTATTTTATCCCAAATGCTGACAGTGGTTCACCGTGCCTATCTACACTGTCATTTTGGATTTAGGTAATTCAGTCACATATATGATTTTTAAAGATACAGAAGTATAGAACACAAACAGGCCTCATAGTTATCTGAATTTCTCCCTCGCTTTGTGCTAAGGAGACTTACTCTCTGGTGATGGGAGGTTCAAGACAGGGCCAAGGTCAGCCCAGCCTTCCCGTCCACACTTGCAGCATATAAACCAGGCCCTGAGTAAATGCGACTGAAGTCTTGGAATTAGCCAAGGGCCCATAAATACTTGGGAAGCACAGGAGGATGAAAGAAGTATGAACTCATTAGCAACATTATACTTGTGCACTTGAATGGATCTCAGGATAACGTTACTATCGCTGTTTCTCCTGTAACAGCATTGTACTTCCGTGCTTAATGGAGAATTATATAAGCACATATCAAATGGTATTGATATGAATATTTAGAAAATTAGGTCTTCGAACAGAATTCATACAGATGTTCAGTTGTTTTGTTGGGGGATGATACAGCCAGCCAAGACCAGCCCAGACAAAAAAAAAAAAAAAAAAGATTCTTAAGAATGTGCACCCATCCTTAGAAAGTGCGACTTTGATTTTTCTACTTTACATATATTCTGTATTGTTAAAGAAAAATTGTCTTACAATGAGGATGAATTATTTAACAAAGTAAGTTTTACTTAGCGGACACCTTTGATTGATTTATAATTATTGAATTCAACTTTCTATTTTTTTAATTGCCCTTTATACCTACTGAATCTGCCCAAGGCAAGGGAAGGGGTATGGACCAGGAATCAGGCGGACTCGGGGTGATAATGGCTGAGTGATTAACCTCTGAGCTTCCTCTGCTCCATACCCATAGGGCTAATATCTCCATTCACCAGTCACCAATACTGGTGACAGGATCCCACCGCCCATGCGAAAGCTCCGTGAACTCAATAAAGTCAATTTCCTTCCTTCCTGCAATGTTTTAACATGATTGAAACATAATGTAAATTGTGCCCAAGATTTAGAAAAGAACGAATATTCCTACTTACGTTGGCCTCAGTTGGGAGTCTACAAAAGCGCTCAGAACACACCTTTTCAGGGAAAGGCAGCCCCAGACAGGACATTTTTGTTGGAGAGGAGGACAGACTCTGGGAGGCTGCATTAGGCACATGTGCAATGATATTCCTATTCCAGGAAGGCTTCAGGCAGAGAGGTTAGGGACGGGTCGCCCCTGATAAACCCACTGGCAATTCTGTGCCAATGGGCAAGCTAACAAGATTTCCTGGGGTGGGGTGGGGTGGGAGCTTCTGACGGTCCAAAGTCACTCTCCCATCCAAGTACTAACCAGGCCCGACCCTGCTTAGCTTCCGAGATCAGACGAGATCGGGCGCGTTCAGGGTGGTATGGCCGTAGACCAAAGTCACTCTCTACAGTACAATCTTGCTGCCCTATCTTGCCTCCGTCTGCTTCCTGAACATGTGAGATGAAACACAGGGAGTGCAGTGTATGTGTACAACATGCATGTTATACTTCACAGTCTGTTTACATGTTTTACCACAAACCCTTGTGACAGGGTCACCATCTACACCGCTGCACGTGAATGTACATTGCACGCCGACTGCGATTACTCACCAAACTGGTTGGCCCTGCAGTGTCTCAGGGTCCGGACGGTGTCGGCAATCATATGCTGGAAGGCAAGCAGGAAGCAGGTCAGTGGGAGGGTCACTGCGGGTGCGGCCCAAGGAGCATGCTTGCCGGGACCAATAGGTAGTTACACCCTGGGGTGTAACTTGGAGCTGGACTTTAAGTGATAATACTGAGCTTGGGTTACAGAAGAGTATTTAGTCCTTGTCTGTAGAAACAGTGGCTCCCACACCCAGTTGCAGGATTCTAACGGAGCCCCGGGAAAACAAAGATGCAGCTCTCCTCCGCCCGGGCCCACCTGTCCCGATATGCTAAGGCTTTTCCCTCCAGGGGGCGCTCCGCCTGCCCCTTCCCCAGGAGGCCTTACTGAGCTCCCCTGGTGAACCTGGGAGGCATTGCTCTCAACCTCCTCACTGTCCTTTGTACACTGCAATGGGCTTTGTGTTGTTGCATTTGTTGTGGAGCTTTCCCTGTAGACCAGGTCCCGCCGGCCGGCTCTGCTTGCCAGCGTCTACCAGCTGTCATGCACGTTGACTCCCGCCACCTGCCGGATGGAGGTTGGCATTTTTGTGGAATCAAAGGTTCACATGTCTCAACTGGTGAGAGGAAGGGAGGCATTCACGAAAGACAAACATTTTCTAGAACCTCCAGATCTTCACAAAAATGTATAATCAGATTCCCTCTTACACTCTTCAGTGTTCTACTTCAATGTCTTTCCTTACAGATCTCCCTGGTCTCCAGGCAAAAGTCTTCTTAAACTCGCGGCTGCTTCGGACGAGATCCCACCGCCTCCTATTGGTGCCCCTGCAACCGTCTTCTAAGTGCCGTCACGCTCGGTTTTCCACGATGGAAGAAATACAGCATTTAGGGCAAGGCCACTCTCCGCTGCAGTTCCCCCCATCACATTCCAGAACAATCTCCAGACACTTTTGTCCTTCTGCTCTAGTCTTCAGGAAAGTCACAGTGACTCCCTAATTCGTTTCAGATCAAGATCCAAACATCATCCCATTATTCAGGCATCCGCACTGTTCATTACCTGGTGCCCCAAACCCCTCCAGGTGGCATCACCTGCCATGCCCTGTGGGTGCGCACTGAGCCCAGGGCCGTGCATACACAGCAAACCCACAGGGGACCACTGCTGTCATAAGTTAATACCACAGAACTATAGAAACTGTAGTATGTGAATGTGACCTACTTATTAAATTGTTCTCACAGCTGTATTTCTAAGTGGTGGCACATTAAATAGGACAGGGATTAGAGCAGAGCTCCGTTGCATGTGTGAAGGAAACGGGCCTGACTCATGTCTGCGAGTGTATTGTTAAGTTTCCTTCCCCCGTGGCCACTGTTCCCGGCGGTCCCTCGGCGTCACATTGATTTCTATCGTGTGCCATTTGCACAGGGCTCAGTCCTGAGCGTGGAACCTGAGGCCTGATCCTCATCGTTAGGCTTCCTGAAGGCGGAGAGAGGACGATATGGTGAAAAGATGATGCTCTTCCCATTGAGGGATGGAGAGGAGGAAGGGGAGAGGATTTGTTTCTCCATGAGATCACAGGTTGGACTGGAACGCGGAGAGCCGCTGAGGCAGCGTGGGGAACAGTGGGAATCTCATTAGGCCCGCTGAGCGCTCCTGGGTCTTCTGAGTTAATGTGTCGGCCTGAATCAGCCCGATAAAGATAATGCACTGAATTCTCTGCTAGCTGGTTAAGCTAATATCCGTCATGAGGAATCGACTCCCCACAAGTTAATTCAGTTACGTCCTCTCGGTTCATTATTGTGAAAGATGATCCTGTTTTAGCGTAAGTGAAACCCTGTTCTTTCCTAAGAAATATCCTTAAAAACACTGCCTCTCCTAGGAAATTCAGTTTCATTCCCCGGCATCAGAGTATAACATAGGTTATGTACAATAGATATTTGCCCTTCTAGAAAATTCTAACGTCACCCCGTCTTTTCTGTGCAAGGAGGGGGTCAGCAGCAGGTGTGCTGTATCTTAAATGCCATCTACTTCGAGGACTAGGAACCCACTGTGTGTCCTAGGGCCTTATATAATGTAGCTTCTGTCTTCTTAATAAAAGTTCTCTTTAGGAATTTAAAATTGAAAATAAGGTATCATTTACATAGGCTATTTCCTTAACCTTTCTTAACGAAACAAGGGTACAGATAATTACTGACCACAGTAGGTGTACACCTAGGTAGACTTTCTTAGTTTTAGCCCCAATGGTTAGTATGACATCTTAGCACTTATGAAAGCAAGACCCTGGGTGACATCAGCAGGCGTTGAAGGCCTTCCCCGGGGCTGCTCGGAAAAGCAGGGGCGACCAAGATGCTGGTCAGAAACAAGGAGAGCAGGGGGCCGGGGCCCCCTCCATCGCTCGTTCCCCTTTGTGCCGTTATTGAATTGTTCTCTCCCTCTGCAGCACTTAGGGGAAATGACACAATGAGCTTAACCAAACCACTGGTTCGCTCGGGAGAGGGTCAAGCACCAGTCAGCCCCTAACAATGGGTAACCGTCTGCGTACAGAGTGCAATTGTCCTCCCATATTCCAAGGAAACTTACTAGACCTTTATAGGGGATTCCACCTGGCGTGACAAGCCCCACCCTATATACTCACACACGCTCTCCAAAGCTTATCTGGTGCATTGGCCAGGATTTGGAGTAAATATCCACCAAAGGTTTGATATTCCTGCAATCCTCCCATGAATACCAAACATCGGAGATTAATCTGCCTGGAAACAGAATGTTGGTGCCTACAGCCTTTCGTTGCAAATAGCTGCCCTGTGATCTTCAGAACATTACACAGTGACACAGAACACACCTTCAAAGAATAAGTATGGAAACCCCAACACTTTAAATGCCCATTCCCAGCTGTGTTGGTTTGACTGTATGTAGTATCTAAATAACTGAGCTCTGATTCCAAAGCACTTAGTGCAGAGAGAGACTTGGAAAGTTATAGGCATGTCCACTTTAAAAATAACGAGCCATAGAGGGATGGTCCTCGGGGGTTACACCTACGGCAAGAAGCCTGACGCCTGCCTTCAGACCCTAGGTGCATGGTCCTCGGGTTGTACGGTGGCCCTGTGCCCTCTCACCCTGTGTGTGGCGAGTTAGAGCAGGGCACTCGGGAGGCAAAGGTCAGACGCCAAACCTTGTGTGGACTCAGCAGTTTGCACTGTTCTGTGGTCATGGTCTGCGTCCCCCACCTCACTCCCCCCGTCCCTCCTCCCAGGGAACCGGGGGTCATTTCCTGAAAGAGTTCACACAAATCCATCACCATGACTGAAAGGTCAGAGGCCAGGCTCTATGGACAGGGGTCACTGGTATCGTTCTTAACCATGAAGGAAAATCTAATTCATGACTAAAGTTCATCGGTCAGACACATCCATCCTTCTTGTCGTCCACCGGGCTCCTTGGAGCACTCCTATTTTACACTCGCTCAGTTCTGACAGGCAACTCCTCCTCTGCCCAGGGCGTGGCTGGCACAGAGGCCAGGAGGAGCCGGCGCAGAACAAAGCCCCAGCCACGTCCTGGGAATAACTTGGGGGAATCCCTGTAGAAAAGCACTCGCTGGGGACCCTTCTCCTGTCAGAACGGCCTTTCCACGGTGGCCCCCTCTGTCCACAGGCTGACGACAGGGGGTCCTTCCCCTCGCACGCCGGCCCTTCCCATCCCCCCTTCCTACCCACGCTGGGAGGACTGGGAGGTGGGCACCTCCCCAGGAGAGCAGTGCATGCTGGGACACAGAGAGACACTGTTCAAGCTGTAAAACTCAACCTCAGGAGTGTGAATTCCCCAGACAGGACTCTTAGGTTTTATTTTTGGTTCAGTAGCATACCCTCCATCGCTGATGCTAACCTAATGAAGTTCCATTTTTTAACACTAAAAGGCAGATTTTTATATTTGGTCCTCAGAACCTTGCTAGCCACGTAGTTTTAACTGCAATACATTTTATTGACAATGCACCACCTACAGCAAATAGCTCCTGGAAATCATCACGTGTTCACTGAAGAAAACGGCTGCATCCACCGGCTTCTTGGTGCAAAAGGGAAAAGCATACACTTGAAAAGGGAGAAACAATGCGAGCTACTTACCAGCTTCTCAAAATTGACGAGATTATCCAAAAACGTTTTATTTCCCTCGTGAATAAATGTTACATCTGGAAATTAAAAGCAAAAAGATACATGCACCATTAGGAATGGATCAGGACTCAGGGCTGAAGAGGTCTTGATGCAACATCCCTTATTAATTTTTCTTAAACATTATGGATTGGCCCATGCATCTGACACGGCACCTTGAAATTGAATCTGTGCATTATTCGAAGTGAAAGGGCATCATTTATGTGTGTGAGTGGGGTGGAAGGGGGGAGAAAATGTTATAACATTAACGCAAGTATATATTTTGCACCGACAATGAAGTGTTTGACTCTAACTTGCTTCATATAAACTAAGACTTAATACTATTCTATGACCTGACAGGTCCATTGTGTTTTTGGGTCAGAACATCAAGCAGAAAACAACAGAATTTCCAGAAATAATAAGATCTTAATATTTATGTATTTTTTTAAAAACAATTTTTGGCAAAGTGTAGGGAACCTGCTTCATATAAAATGTTCAGACTTAGATTTAGGTGTCTCATGTAGATTTCTGGCTCTGAGTCAGTGCCTGACTGTGTACCAGACGTGAGTAGAGAAGGAGGCAGGTTTGAAAATGGCAAGGTCCCCGGCCATGTTCGCCCGGTAGAAAGGAAACACCGCCGATGAAGATAACCCGAAGACGAAGGATGAAGGCTCATGGGGAGAGGAAGGGAGCATTACATTTGGCTTCACTGCATTGAAAGTGACAGAAGATCTTCAAACACAGGTCTCCTTGTGGTTGCATGAAACAGAGGCGCCTTCCCAAGAGACAGGGCTGTAGGAACTGGGCACAACGAAGGCAGCAGCGGAAGCTATGAGAATGGATGACGCAAACGTTCAGATCAGAGGGTCCATGACGGGACACGAGGGAATCCTCACAGACAAGAACCAGAGTAAGAAATACATGGCAACTTGAAGAGCATGAAAATAATCAGGTTTCGTCACAGACACGGAGGGCCAACCAAATGAAAATAATTTCCAAAAATCGATTAAAACAACCTGATGTACAAGAGGGAAAAGGACACTGTACAAGCCCTGCAGATAGAAAGGAAAAGCACTGGCATTTAATCAAGACTCTGATCCTGCTGGCTCGCCGGGGGGCAAGTAAGAGCTAGGTGCTCGGAAACCTGCCCACAACACACTGGGCCACCTGACTCTGCCCACCCGGGCGCAACACGAGTTCTACATACACTTTCCTCGAGGCACCCCTTACAGAGCTTCCAGCACCCACTGCAACGTTTCCCTAAGCCTTTTTCCTTTTCTTTCTTTTTCCTCTTTAAACTGATGTCCTAGCAGAAAACAAAGCAGTGACACAGTCGTCTGACAAAGTCTCTGGCTATTGTACCACCTTTCATGATTTTGCTTTCAGAAAAGACTCGCAAGTTTTCACTGTGTGACGGTATTTAGGAAAGAGCAGTCAACACAGGTAGCTTCCACCTTCTTTGTTTGGCAAACACAGCACCGTGTGCACGCTCTCCACGCGAACCACCGCCGACAGGCCTGGTCTCTCCGAACGCCCGGAAAATTCGGGTGACAAACGCCCTCTGACTGCCATCCCGCTCCTGTGATCCCAAGGATGACAGTGAGGGGCGAGGAAAATAGCAACAGCTTATATTTACTGACAGCGTCCGACGCGACATTAACGCGTCGAATCCTCACAAAGGACTGAAGGTAAAGCCCCGGCAGGACAGAATGCGGAGGAACACTGGTCCAAAGAACATGCACAGCTGTCCCACGCTCACAGCTCTGCACGTCACAGCCAGGATTCTAATCCGGGGAGCCCCGTCCCCTCACCGCTGTCCCTCTGGTACCTCACCCGCTGGGGGACTTGACGTTTCTTACAACCCCTCACAGTCAACGTGCCGGGTTCCCGGCACAGGGGGCGCCTGCACCCATGGGCTCCTCTTCCTGGGGGGCCTCGCTTACCCTCCATCTCAGGACTTGTCAGGGGAGTAGAGGAGAGGGCTGCTCTCTGAGGGCGGGGCGGGCGGGGAGATGCTGATGGGAATAAGGCCCGGAAGCTTCTGGCAGGTGGGGAGGGAGGAGAGGCAGGAGAAGGGGGTTCAGGTGACTGAGGGTTCGGACCCATTTTTGTGGCAGGGGTGTGATGGGAAAGGTGTGAGAGATAAACCAGGAGGTGGCTGAGCTCAGACACTGGGATCTCAGAGCGGAAGTCACGGGTGTGAAGCAGCTCAGGTGGGAATGGCAGGTGCCAGGCCCCTTATATCCGGAGTCGCCCGGACACACTCCAAACACTTCACAGCACAGAACTGCGGGTGAAAGGCTCCATCTGAAGAGATGGCAAGTAGAAGAGAGAGAAGACACACACAAGCACCCCGCCATTCCTTTTAGTTAAATACCCCACAAAACTGCAACACTGATCCTACTCTAAGGCACGTACACAACCCACAGGGACTCCGTTTACCTTCACACACCTGTCGGGTATTCCCTCTGTGGGAAGGGACCACCATCTCCAAAAACACCACTTTCTACAGACTATTCAGCTGCTTGGGACCGTGAGCCTCAACACTTCTGTAGGGTTTCCCGCTTCCGTAACAGAGTCCACACCACAGTGGCGGGGGGCGGGGGAGGGGGGAGTATATCAAAAGGCAAGAAATTCAACTGGAATGCAGGAAAGCTGACGGCTGATAGAAGCCTCAGGCCATGTGGTTACTTCATAATCTGCAGGCTTGCTGGGTACTGAGGACCTCGAAGAATGAGAGATGGGAAACCTAGGCCTTCCTAATACTCAACAAGTTCAGTCCAGTCCCTTTACTCTAACTAAAAGGACCCAAAGCAGTGAGCACAGGTGGGGTGGTGGGTGTATGTGTGTGTGCGTGTGTGCGTGCGTGTGTGTATTCTAAAGTAGTTTATTGCAACTTTTAAAATAATTTTGCAGTTAAAAAAGCCTAACCATTAATGTAGTTTATTTTTTCCAAAATGTCTTATTCTCAGCCATGATATATACATATTTCAAATTTTCATCCTATTTTCCTTTGGGAATTATTTCAGACAAAAATGGCAGCTTTAAATACAAAAGACTGCTAATGATGTTTATTTTTGTAATCACAAACAATTAATGTGAAGGAAAAATAAGTGCTTATTTAACTCAAGAACACTTCTAATGAAAAAAAGAAAAATGCGTTTAAATTTCCTAGAGCGAATGGGTGATGTCTATTCAGTAGAAAAAAAGGGGAATTTGTTGTGCTGCCAACAAGGAGGTCTCGATAAGCTCAGTGGAGCAGAAAATTGCATCCGAGCTAAGTTGTAGGTGTGAGACACCTGACTGCATTAAGTAGTTTTTGGGGAAAATCACCACTAAACAGCAGAAAGCTCTGCTCATATCTGATTAAGTTAAGGGGCACTGCCAGCTAATTTCTCATTAAAAACATCTGTTTCAAAGTTTTTAATTCCTAAAGTCATTCCTTTCTAAGAGCTGCCCTCACTATTTTTCCTATTTGTGTCTAAATGAGTCTGTGTTCCCCCCCTGCCACCCCTGCTCTCCCGCTGGATGTGTCTCATTTGCAAATAAAAATCGTAAGCCTGAATAAACCTATCCTAAAAGGAAATAAATATGGAGAACCAAAGGTACCTTTAAGTTATTTTGCTATTACAATCTCTCCTTTTCCATCCATGTACATTTAGTGGACTCTTTTCAGGGTGGATGAAGTGTCTGTGCACCTCTCAATTGTTCTAATAGATTATTGTCTTTATGGTTTCACAGAGATGCTTGCTTTATGCCAGATGAAGACCAAATGAGTAGCTGCAAGAATTAATAGCAACTCAGTAATTCTCCAAGCTCCGCTGTTCCTGAGAGAAGCCGAAGAGGGAATATCAGCTTCACCCATGGGGCGGGCAAAGGGGGAGGCGGGCGAAGGGGGAGGCGGGGGAGGATGGCCGGGCCAGCCAGCCCTCCAGCTCCAGGTAACTCATTTCCAGAATCACATCTAAGGACCCAGTCATGGGGATCTGGCCCAGCCAAAGAACAGAGGCTATGTAAAAAGAAAAGAGTGTTTCTATAAAATCCTTTCAAGGAATCACAATATGGCCAAGAAAAATGACCAAATCCACCCTGGCCGGATGGCTCAGTTGGCTGGAGCATGTCCTGTACAACAAAAGGTGGCAGGTTTGGTCCCAGCCAGGGCACATACCTGGGTATCGGATTCGATACTGGACTGGGGTGTGCGCAGGAGGCAATCGATCAATGTTTCTCTCTCATATTGATGTTTCTCTCTCTCTTCTCAAATCAGTAAGAAAAGAGAGCAAACCCCCCGTGGAAAGCTCACAGGAAGGACATGTACGAGGTCAGGAGCGCAGGCCAGATTGAAATGAGCTTCCCCTGAATGAATCCCCTTGGTGTGAAAGGACCACTGAGACCTCATCAGTACATTTAGCCAACATGTCTCATGAGGCGTCATTTACGGCCTGCGCCCCGCACGGCAGCAGGTGTGGGCTGCGGCTCTGAAACTTGGGCTGCCAACGTGGCGCCCAACTGACTGCCTCTGGGGTCCTGCATGCCAGCTGGTCTCGGTTGAACTGAGTGGATTGTAAACTCACAGAAAAATAAACAGCGCGTAGGAGCAGGCGAAGTAAACACAACAGTTTCCAGTCCTAAATTCTGTGCATCGCAGAAAATGCTCTGTTGTCTGCTCACGTGTAAGTCCGTATTTTAGGCATCTCAGAAATAACGGCGCATTTGAAAAGCAACCACAGGGAAACCCTGTTAGTTCTGAATGTCGAAATTACTCTAAAGCGATAAACTGAGCCCTCCTTTGTTGTTGCTGTTGTCCTCTACAGTTATAACGATGCATTTCCGGAAGATGGAATTACAAGTAGAAGAGAAAAAATCGTTACCTTTGAGCAGTAAGGGCATGAACGGGATTTTGGGCGGCTTCATCTTTTTGAACGCATCTCTGTAGGCTTTGTGGTTCAGGGAGGGATCCTGAGCAGCCAAGCGGATCACAAAGAGAAAGAAAAAAATCAATCTGCTATAGAAACAGCTCTCAGCCCACGTTGCTATGCAATTTGAACATGATTTGGATATGGAGACGTCTTCCCTAAGAGCGAAGGGGACAAAGGTTTCCTAGGGAAATAAACTCACTAAATTAGGGCAGGAAATCTAGGTAATGAATGAAAGCCAGCTTATTGGTTTACAATAATGGGAAGTGGCTGCAAAAGAGAGAGACACCTTTTGATGGCCCTATTCCTTTCCTCGAGTCAGTTCTGTAAGTACAGTTTCCTCCGCATAATTTCTGTCATGAGGAAACCCTGGCGTCTTTTGTCAGGGACACGGCACAGAAAAATGCCCTCGTGATGCACAGACAATGCAGCGAGCACAAGAGAACCGCCTTACTGTGTTCTGAAAAGAAACTATGCATTTTGTACCCAAGCCTAAGAAATGGTAAGAGGAGAAGAGAAGGATGCATAAGCCAGTGACTGCACACTAAATTTACACCCGTGCACTTCATAGGCTTGGAGATGGACCACAAGTAACAATCTGCCTGCTGAAAACCACGCCAAAGGGCCATTCTCAGTGTTGTGTTCCACGGAGAAGCAGCATTAACCGTGTACTTGCTTCACTTCATAAGAAGCAAAGCTACATTTCAGGGCAGGTGAACGTGTGTGTGTCTAACTACCTGCCCCGATGGAGTGCAGGCCCCCCCCCCCCCCGCCACCCCCCGGAATCTAGAAGACAATCAGACGCTGGCAACTCATTGGAAGGATAAGTCCCCTCTGGGTCAACTACTTACTGTTAAACTTTCAAGTTCAGAGAAAAGTTTCTTAAACTTCCCAGGGATTTTCTAAAAACAAAGACAAAAAAACACACAAAAAGGTCAAAGAGGTCAGCTATTTTGAGAGGCGACCAGGGGAGGGTTCATGAAGTTGTGCTGATGTGTGCCGTGGCTCTGCACGTAAATCTCTCACGTGGCTCTACCCTGACTGCTCCTCGTCGGCGGTTTTCATCACCCTGTAATGTGGCTGTGGCTGTGCATCGCTCGGGAACGTGGCGAAAACCAGTTTAAAATAAGTAACAGCCACGTGACTGGCATCGGGCTGGTTAGACATTCCACACACGGGTGATTTTTTTTTAAATAAACACTTGGATTTCAGTCCATATTCTACCTTCATCTTCTTAAATAGTCTTGCTGATTGGGAATAATAATGTCAGCTGACATTTTTTGTGTAAATGAAATAATGATGTCTCACAGCAGAGGGCTGAGTGCAAGGCTGTGAAACCCTCCATGACGAAGCCTGCACTTTGACAGGTAGAATGACTGGGTTACAAAGATCAGCCACACAGACAGGCGGCGTGTAAGTGACAGCGGATATGCCATCCTCCCCATCACAGCTTCGGGCCTCAGGAAGAAGAGCCGGGGTTTCCCAGCCCGCCTGTCACGTGGTCAGCTACGTGCAAAGCTGGGTGCCTTCCACACTGACGTGGTCAGCAGACGGTCTGCCTCTGAGTTCTGCCTCCGCCCCTTGCTGGCTGTGTGGTTTGGTGTGAGTCTCGAAGTTCTCCTACCGACGTGGAGACAAAGCCTACGAAATACACAGTTCATGGTTGGTGCTTAACAAATTCCAGCCATGAATGCCAGCGCCCATGTTCTGGAAGATTGGTGGGACTTTCTGCTTCTAAAACACATCAAAGTCATGGAGGCAAACCCTACAGTAATTAGACTTCTAAAACACATCAAAGTCATGGAGGCAAACCCTACAGTAATTAGACTTCTAAGTTATTTAGAAATAGACGTTTCAATTTGATGGTTTTGAATTTGGACTCCGTTTAGCACAGCACACAGGCAGTTTAATATGTTTGGAAACTACTGTGATACAGACACACCTATATTCATGAATGGAGGACAAATTAAATGAGAAAAGGTAAAATGCAGCCATCTGCAACTTATTCCCACCGTTTTTTCGAGCTGCATATCTTAGTCTGTTGGACATGACACACGAATGTCCCAGTGGCTCCTCAAACTCAGAGTCAAACTGGTCACCTCCAGGGGTCAGCCATGAATGGGCCAAATCCGGTTCATGGCCTGCTCTTGTAAATAACGCTGTACTGGAATGTGGCCACACCCACTCATTTACATACACCTTGTGCCTGCTCTTGCACTGCAGTGGCAGAGTGGAGTCCCCGAAATAGAGACCACAAGGCCTACACAGCCTACACACATTTGCTGTCTGGCCCCTTACCTGCAGAGCTGGCTGACCCCGTTCTATTCCTTTATATCCGCTACTTTCCCTATTGGGGACCGTGTGCTCACTCGTCAGCAGGCCTAATGGTCCCACAGTCACTTCTGCTTGGTGCCCACCCCAACCCCCAGCAACTCCCAACTCAACCTCTAAGCCCCTGCTTCTCAGAGCTTCTTTGTAGAGTCTTCTCGCTCCTGGGAGGCAGAATGAGTCCTCTACTTGCTCCTCTGCGGTCCGACTGGACTTGGTTCAGCACCTCCTCCATCAGAGCCACTCTGTTCCCATCTGTCTGACCCACCCTCCTTCTGCCAAGGTGCACAAAGTAGGCAGCCAATGTGCTCATGGGATGCACATGGTTTGGATTTCATTTCTCCCCCCAGTGCTTGCAAAGCAAAGCTTTTTTCCAGGTTTAACTCAGGTTTAACTCAAATTCCACTCGCCTCTAGCCCTTGCCAGCCATCTGTTCCTCCTCTGGTCAACCGGGGCATTGGTAGCCCATATCCTTCATCTTGCGATGTGCACACACGGTCTCGTTTGCTTCGTCAGAGCAGGCAAGCCTTTCGTTTCTTTCTTTGAACCTTTTTAAGGAGCACTGGCCCCGACCCTCAGGCCACCCACCCCGGTGCATTCCGTCAGGGCATCTCCCTGACCCACAGAAAGTGAACCTGCAGGTTGCCCTGAGACCTACGCTGAGACCTAATGTAAGAAAAGGAACAGAGGCCTATCGGCTTCTCTCCCACAGGAGTTTGCACTGGGACCCACGAAGGGAATGAGCAGTTACTGATCGGAGCTGAACCTGGGAAGGTGGAGAGAGGACAAGGAGACCGAAGTGAACACATGCAGGCTGGAGCCAGGAGGAGGGGGTTAAAGAGAAGGGGGGAGGGGGCGTATGGTCCACAGAGTGAAGTAGGCAATCAGCAGGGAACAGGGAGTGAAGGAAACAAAAGCCCAGGAGGGATGCCCCAACTGCAGTTCTTCCCACATACACCCTTCAAGTCCATGTTTGAGAACTTGGGCTAACTTTTGTGGGCCTCTCCATCTTAGAACCTAAACAGTCTTCATCATATGACAGCAACAGAAGCAGAACCAGGATTTGGGAGGCCTGAAAAGTACAGCATTTTGTGGGCCCTCTTTAAGAAAATCAATACAAAATTACTTTACTTTTGCAAATTTTACAAAGACGTATATTGTCCATGTGAATACACTGCCAGGAGCCCAGCAAGTGTGAGGCCCGGAAGCTTAATTCGTCAGCATCTCAGCCTACAGACTTCTGGACACACGGCCCGCAGGTGAGCGTTTGAAAGGACCACCATTGGTACCCACGCCACCTCAGGGCAGAGCCGAGGAAGACCGAATCTGCAGGCATCATTTTACAGTTCTCATCGCTTTCATACACATTACACAACCGTTCTGAAGACCATTTGATTAAAACAGTCCCTCCCAACTGAACACATTATTTTTTATGTAAACCCTTTAAATCAATTTACACATTGTAAACAAAGCCTTTTGCAGGCCCATATCCCGTTCAGCTTTATCTGTCCCTCCCACTCCCCTCTCTGTGAGGACCCCAAGGCTCACCTCCCAGGTCTGTGACAGCCGGCTGACAGAAGCGGTGTTGAGACCCATCACAATAGCAAAGAAAGAATTCAGGTTCCTCTGGGCTTTGCAGCTGCGGCATAAAAGAAAGCAGAAGGCACTTTGAGGCAACATCCTTTCTCCAGGTAATCGCAAAATACACAAGTGAAAATACTCCCTGCGGCCAGAGTTCAACCTCAAGGGCAGGGCTGGCCCTGCTCTGTAGCCCCTACACGCCGTGAGCACCCCAGTGGGAGGGTGGTGTCCTCGCCAATGTTTCTCACAGAAATGAACTGATTTCAAAGGCTTCAGCCCATCCTTACTTATCTTTAGGAGAAGATCTATGCTCTGATACTTTCTGACACTTCAAAAACTTCCTCCTTTTTAACCATCTATTTTGGATGCATTTACAGTTTCAACTGAAAATTCTCAAACTCGTCTTCCTCTATATATACCATACCCTCATCATACTAGCTCTCCAGTTCCGTCCCTTTCATCAGCAAGCTGTCTATTTTTTGATAGACAAGCCCCTCTCCCTTCACAGGTCTAAGCGGCCCCTCCCATTACACTCAGACATACCTTCTTTGCTATCCACAAAATTACTACTATATTCTGGATATACATAAAATATGGCCCATACTATGAGGATACTGTCTCATTTAGAGAGAGGAGATAACATGCAAAATGAGACCATGCTGAGCTCCATTCACTCTGCAAGGTTATCTGTTGTGCATGACGTCAACCTTGCCTTTGACTTAATTGGTCAAAATCCCACCAATATTCACAGCCGGCTGAGGGCATCCGGAACAGCAGACGGAGGCTGGGCGTCCGGTCAGCCGGAGCAGCCTGGAGTTCTAGACACTCCGTTGTCTGGGACTCATTAGAAAACAACTTCTCTGAGGCAAGTCTTTAAAATTAAGAAATTAGCCTCGCTTGATAATTAAACATGGAAAATATGAACGTGCTCAGCAGTAAGCTGGGTGCAGGAAAAATACCCAGTGTCTGCGCCATCTCTCCCCGACGCCTCCATCAATGCCTCAGGTGGAATTTGGGAACAGTGCATGTGTGACTTTGTATCTCGCTCTTTCAGTTATAGATTGTGTTAAATTGTACATTGTGCATTCTTCACTACCACCATTAATGGCTATGTAACACTATCAGAAACATATTTCATAACTTGCTTACTCACTCCCCTGTTGTTGACATTTAAATTATTTTCAATCCATTCAATTCAATACAAAATGCTACGATGAGTATCTTTGTGTATAAAACTTTTGACTATATTGATGATTTTTTTTATTACGTTAGACTTCCACGCATTCCACCATTGGTCAAAAGCAATCATGACTTGAAAAGTTCTTGACACATTCAACACTTCTGTCTCCCCAAACGATACCCAGTTCTAGGTGCGCAAACTGTGTAAGAACATCCAGTTCTGAATCAGGAAAATGGCCGGGCTGCTAAAGACACCGCTGGCTACACCGGGGCAGGTCCCGCTGAACTGCCTGCTCCTGGGGCCAGCCTCCGGACCGGGTGCTGCCCAGCACAGCTGAGAGCCACACTGGGGGCACTCGGAGGTTCTACTCATCAACACTGGAACCTGGACAGGCACTGCTGCCTCCACACCCAGTGTCCAGGACATCTGGGGTGAACTCAGCCCTGCAGGCCCCACCGCCGAGTCTCCAGGGCACGGTCAGTCCCTCTGGTAGTCTTCCTGTCCAGCTCTGGACTCCGCCTCTTGGTAGGCAAGAGGATCTGAAACTCAGTTCAACTGGCCCCTTCCTCTGGTTTCTGTCAGCTTTCTCCCGGGTGACCCTGCTTGGTATATTCCAGGAATAAACAGACAAGATACTTCCTGGTCTATGATTTAGGAATCCATCTGTTCTTGAGCATCACTGGTGTCTAAAGGCACCAGCATGGTGACTCTACTTCCCCTCTGCCACTGACTCGCACCCTTTCTATCTCATCGCAGCCCTGGACACTTCACACCACTGGACAGAGCTGAAAGGGCTCCCTCTCTGGACGTGAGGACCTGGAGTACCCTGTGACCAGCGGGAGCCGTCCCATCCTGGTGCCAGAGACCTCGGCCGGAGGCTCTCCCTTACCCCAGGTCTCCTGCTTACCACTCACAGAGGCCTCTCTGGTCTGTCTCTCCCCACCGGACATTAGGTTCCCGAAGGCTCGATTATAGTCTATTTCAGCTTTGCATTCTGCCCATCACCCAAATACCGGGTAGGCAGCAAGCCATTCAGATAGCATTTACTGGAGTTGAAACTGAGACTTTTGGGGGAAATGGATTATTGTTATCTACCAGGGTCCCTCGACCTGGCCTATGCCCTCTGGGACCCCTCAGGGGATGTCGGAGAGCCGGTTTGGCCCAATCTCCGCAGGCCTGCCTAGGGACCCCACCCTCTAGTTCGTTATAAAAAGGTTTCTTCTTCTTTTCATTCAGTATCATTTATCTATGTGGGATCTTAGATATAATTCTCATCTTTTTATCGTTTAGCCCTCCATAAATAATTTTCTTGGCCCAGATCTCTTTTTCATTCAGACTTAAAATAAAAAGGCACCTATAACTAATATCTGACTCTGTGAAAAGGAGAAAGGAATTAAAACGGACACGATTTCTCTAGAAGACGAATTGATGCAGTACAAATATTGGATACCATTCCAGTCCGGACTCCTCTGTGACTGAGGTTCATTCATTCCATGATAAGAACAGACCGGCTGACACTAAACATGCCAGTTTAGCAAAACTCCTTTGTCTGTGAGAGGGAATAAAATCCACTCTACCCACAAGGATGGGGGATGGGATGGTGAGAAGGAAGGGAGACATGAATATGCAAATAGGATGCCTGAGGCAGGGAAAACACTTCCTGATCACGGAAATTATTGTTTCCCCTTGGCTATCCCTACCACTGTGATGATAAAGAATTTAACTTCGTGTTTCTATTGCCATTCCAGTCCACGGGCTAGGGTTAGAGACCAGGACCGTAAATAATTCAAGATCATGGGGCCGTACGGAGAAGATGTGAATAGATTTCATTTCCCCGAGGATCCATATAATCTTACACTGAGAAGAGAGCTGTGTGGCGTCATTTTACTCCTTGGAACATTAATCTCCCATTTCTCCAAGTAACTGGCATTTATAAGAACGTTTTTTTTTATTCAAAAGAGCCTCACCTTTAGGTATTTCACAGGCTGTAATGGAATGTACTGGCCAAATTTTAAAAAAAGGAACATTTAACATAAGAGCAGCCCAAGATGAAGGCTTCTGTGCTACTAACTCTCCTTCGCTTCCAGGCACACCAACCAAGTCAGGCACCCCCACTGTCTCTCGCCAATAAACGAAACGCTCTGCCTCTGGGGTCTTCTCCCTACGGTTCAATCTACACGCAACTCTCAGACCAGCCTTCCCGAGGGACTGCTCCGAGCATCCGCTTCCGGCACAAACATTTTCAATGACCTCCTCCCGCCTCCTCCAGGCAGTGCAAACTCTTCCATCTGAAATTCAAAATCCTTTACAGATTGGTCCCATCGGCCTTTGCAGATGAATCTCCCACAACTTCCTTCCAAACACCCTCTGTGAGGGTCCCACTGGGTCAGGGTACTTTCTCGGACCACGTGTGCTCTGCCCCCAGTGAATGGACACCTGTCCACTTCTACCCGGAATTCAAATGCAGCCTCACATGTTTCCACACCCTCCTTCCCACCTTGTTGGTATGTGAGCTTCCCCTCCTCTAAAGCCCCAGAATGTGAGCTCACATCGTGGCACTCCCCGGTTCTAACCTGCACGCTGGCCACCTGCGTTATAGAAGCGCCGCCCGGGCCCCTGCAGACTGCAAACCCCCGCAGGCAGGAATGGGGTGTCGGCTCGGTCTGATTTCCCCACGGTACCTGCGTGGACCCGCACCTATACTGAGCGATCAATAAGTATTTCCTGAATGCTGGTCTGACATGTACGCAGAACAATGATACAAACACTATTCTGGAAGACAGAGGAGAAGTGGGAAGGCTGGGAGGCAGAAGGAACGGGAAAGATTCCGGCTCCTGCTGCCTGCTTCCATTGGGAAGCTGTCCCAGGAGGGGCTCAGGGCACTGATCTGGTAGATGCAGAGATGCTCCCAGAAAGTTACTAAAATGTCATTCCACCCACATTTACGGAGTCCCTGCTAGTCACCGAGTCCGCTTCCAGGCTCCCAGCACAATGACTGCTTAGAACTGGCCCCTGACCCCTGGAGCCTCTCATAGCCCAGGGAAGGAGCCCTGTATAAACAGGTAAGTTCAATAAACATAATAAAGGCATTTTAAAAAAGGAAACAAAGCATGAGTGTGTGCGTGGGGGCGGGGAGGGGAGGGGTCTGGGTAGGGAGTAGTTGACCTTTCATTTGAAACTCAGTGATGTCGTCAAGAAGGAAGCAACACTTGCCCTACATCTTAAAGAGCGACAGCAATCTGCGGGGTGGAAAGGGCCCTTCTTAGCAGACGCAACACATGTCCATGCTTGGAGGACGGTGTGCCTGGGAAAGAGACAGCCATTCAGAGTGGCTGCAGCATGGGGTGCACCCAGCAAGGGGTGAGGCTCAGAGGCCAGAGGGACCAGCCAGTGTAGGGCCTGCTAAGGAGTTCGTAAGGTTCACACTGTGGGCATCAGGAGGCTGAGAGCAGAATTCTCGGAAGCACCTGATTCTCAGTGATGGTTACCCCGTCCCATCACCGCCCCCATTTTCCGAGCTGCTGTAGCTCCCCAGCCACATGGCAATTTGGCAGCAGGATGGGTATATGTGCACGGCCTGCTTACTAGCTCCATAGCACAGAGCAGAGGGCTTCAGTCTGCGATTTTGATATGTACTTTAAAATAGAAATACTTCAAATGCAGAGTCATAAATATTCATGAAGAGACCTTTCCAATCATTCGGTCACTTAACCCAATGTGACACGTTTACATCCACCCTTCCTGTCACCACAAGGGAAACAGTACTTGGCAAGGAGCGGAGCGGAATTGCAGGTTTTACTATGAGGAACTCACTGGGCGGCGATTTTGATGAACTTCTTCACCAGCTGCACCCGCTTGCCCAGCTGGCTGCAGAGCAGAATCTCCGTGGCCACCCAGAGCTGGACCTCATTGCAGCGCTGGAGCAGGAGGCTGAGGTTCGCAGTGTGCTCCCCACTTCCTTGTCTGCTGAATGTGAAATAGATCAACTCTTGCTGAAAGAAAAGGTAGTCATGCCAGTGTTTATTTTCAGCACAAAGTCAGGTTGACACAAAATTCAGTCCCTCTTTAAAAGCTATTTCTCGTAGCCATTCTCATATCGGACTATGTGACAATATATTCAATTTGAAACAACTTCCCTTTAGTTTTAGGGATGCCTCATTAAATAATGTTCACTTAGACTTCTTATATAAATGTATTTCTTTAGAATGTAAGAATGGTGCCTTTACATGGAAATCTAAGACATTCAACATTTCAATCACAGGCTGAATGAAATCCAAAACTTGTTACGTTGGCAAATTCAAGTGTAAATGAAATACTATCACAGTACTTGTTAAGATGCACGTTAGACCCTCACAGGTAGAGTCCAGGCAAGGGATCTCAAAGGGTTTAGTGTGAATCAGGATCACCTCCCTTCCCCCAACCAGACTCTGATTCAGGTGGTCTGTGGTAGGGACAAAAATGTCAATTTCTAACAAGTTTCCAGGCAGCGCTGATGATGCTGGTCTGGATGCCCAGGCTTTGAGAGCCATGGACCCAAGACAGTGTCAAATCTTACATAGAAAGAGCAAGGTCCAAAATGAAAAAAATTCGAGTAAGACCAGTAACTATTTACTATATATATGGATTGTTCCCATGCAAAGCAATAGAAAATGCTTGTTTCTAAATGGAGGTGTGTGTATCTACAGAAGTCGTTCACATCCTCCCACTGCCTATGCAGGACGCACCCTGTTCTATTAACATTTCCAAGGTCACATGTCATTGAGCGGGAATGACTCCCCTAATTGCTCAAATTCAGATCATCACGTTGAAAATTTAATGAGCAGATATGAGGACACTTAGAAGTTATTCCCAATTGAAAGCAAAGCTCAGGGAGCACGCTGGGCCTGAGTCCCTCCTGCAGGAGGAAAGGCTGCCTCATAGTGAAGATGCCACTACAAGGCAAAGCAAGGGCAGCAAGTGGTTCCACAGAGCTGCTCGCTGCTGGCCTTCTGGTGCCCGTGAGCTTTCCATGGGCTCAACTCCTTCACTCATTGTCAGTAGCATTTTGCCCATAACCTGTTGCTTTATAAATGTTATAAGCTATCCTCCAGGGAGAAGTTGATGGACATAAAAGTTTGAAATATACCTCAAAATTTTCAAGAAAGCACTTAACATCTTGCCGAATAGTCTAAATTTATAGAATGTTCTTATGTAAAAGCATGAGTGTGTGTGCACATATATACACACAATATACATATGCTTCTTGTATAACTATTATAAACTTCATGGGAAAAATTCAAATATCAATATCAAAGGCATCAAATACAAAATAGCTCTTCAGTCCCATTAGACCTCCATATAT